CCTGCACCCCCGCACAACACTCCCCGTGGTCATCCTCCCTTTTCCCTCCCCAGTTACACCAGTCGTTTCCCCCGGGACACGACAACGGTTGCTTTATTGAAGGCCACGTTGATGACAGCACAGCAGTGACACTGTAGGAGATGCAATTAGCCTGGCACAACGCCGCCCTTTTATTCCATTTACTTTGCATCATTCTTTCCCTTTAGAAACGCAGTCCAAAGCCCTGCGGAGGGCATGGGCCAGGCAGGCCGGGGGTTGCCCAGACCCCTTTGCACTCTGTGGTAATGGGCAGAGTGAAAGGGTTTTTCTTTCCACTGTACCCCTTCCCCAAATGTTCGCTGAAGTGCCTTGCTCTTGCCTGCCCGTTGAGATCTGCAGGCGGCCTGGCGTAGTCCAGCACCGGCCACCCTCCCCTCCCTCCTCTAAGGCAGGGAGGCAGGGCATGCAGCCTGCCCCTAGCAGAGGCAGCACGCCTGCTGCCCATCCTGCTGGCCTTGGGGCAGCCCCAGGAGCGAGGCCCCAAGAAAGCTCCAGCCTTGGGATGGAAGAGCTGGAGGCAGCTGACGAAAGAGGGAAGAATCGGGGTCTGCGATTTGTCAGGGGAAAGGTGCAAAGGTGTCCCACTGTGTACTGAGGTGGGATGGCGCAGGTTTGTGTCGCTGCAGCTCGCTGGCGCCTGGCATGCCTCCTGCACAGGAGGGGGCTCCTCTTACCCCCTTCTGCATCTGCTCCCCTAGCAGGCTTCCCCATTTTCCCCGGGCACAGGAAGGTGTATTAGATCCGACCAGCCGCTTGCAGACTGATTTCTCCATGTCTGCAGGATCCATCTGATGGCAGGGCGGGTTCCCCTGGGCGCAGACCGGGCAGCAGTGGCAGGTGAGATGGAAACCACCTTCGTTGAAAACCTCAGATACGCTGCTGACCTCCTGGCCCAGGTAAGTAGGGAAGGGGTCCTGCTCCGTGGGTGCAGCTCTTAGGGTACCTGAGGATGGAGACTCCCCCAGCAGCCTGGCACGGGGAGGGAGCGCTCCCTGCTGCAGCGGTGACAGGATGCTCTGCAGGGTGACATTACTGTGTTACAGGAAGGCATGATCGGACTGGTAGAGCCTATTAACAACCGCATCACTGACCCTCGTTACTTTCTGAACACCCCGCACCAAGGTAAGGCAGACATCTCTCCCCAAAGTCTCCTTCAAGGGAGGAGAAGGATCCCCAGAGTCTGAAAAGCAGGAGGTTGCCTCACCCCCAGGGAGATGCTGAGGGAGCACAGCTGATGAACAGGGAGGTTCAGGGTTTCACCGTGAAGCTTCCAGCCTGGGGGTGATGGTCTCTCATTTCTTGCACCCTTAGCTGCTGCCATCCTGGAGAAGGTGGGACGGCCCAACCTGAAGCTGCAGCTGGTGAGTAAGCATTGAAGATCTCCAGGGTCCACCTTCCAGCAGGGAACCTTGCACCGTCCCACAGGAGAGTCCCAGGGGCTGTGGGCTTGTTACCCCCTCCTGGGGATGTGGGGAGGGACAGGGACTGCAGCACAGCCACCCTCGACTGCTCACTGCTCCACAGCTGCACCATCCATCTCCTCTCTCTCCCACAGGATCTCTTTCACTGCCAGATCATGGATGGGAATTTGTCACGCAACCTGGAGACATACTTCCCTCTCATCGGTAATGCCCTATACCCAAACCTGCTTCTCTGTGGCCGTGGGGCAAGAGTGGCCTTGAGATGGGGTCCTACTGCCTCACACTCTGCTGTGGCTGGCTGGGGCCAGGGTTTGCTCTTAGGTCACCTTGTCCCATGCCCAGAGAAGGCTGCAGGCAGGGCTGCGGTGGGCAGAGCATCTCCCATTCCCTCCCTAGGTCATATCCAAATTGCGCAGGTGCCAGGGCGGCACGAGCCTGACAGCCCTGGGGAGTTGAACTTCTCCTACATCTTTGAGTTCCTGGAGTCCCTTGGCTACACTGGCTATGTGGGGTGCGAGTATGCTCCAAAAGGTGGGTGGCCCAATCCCCACGGGCAGGTCCCAGCATGGACCAGTTCACCGGGGACCGTGCAAAGGCAGACATGTCCTGGGGAGGGTGGTGGCAGGCAGTGGGCATCCACGTCCCTACCTGGGGGTGAGAGCCCTGCCCAGAACAGCAGCTGCTCCAGCTTGCCTGAGGTGCCAGGAGGAGACACCTTGTCTGTCACTGCAGGAGACACTTTGGAAGGTCTGGGCTGGCTGCGCTCGTACTGGGAGAGCAGAGGCCTGCAGCATGGTGGGACCAGCAAGGCAGCAGAGTAAAAGAAGGAAAACACTGGAATAAAAGTCAAAGCAATGGCTTAACAGAGGAGCGTGTCTGTCTGCTCTCTGACTCGGGGCAAAGTGAGGAGCATCTATGTCCTACTGCCCTTCCCCAGGCCCTGCTGGGCCAGCCCAAGCAGTTAGGCCCTCACCTACTCAAGCACCATCTACAGCACGTGGTATTTGGGGATGGCCTGGGCACCGCTGTAGGTGACTTGAGGTACAGAGGAGCACCTTTACCTCTGGTCTGCAGAGGTGTCCAGGGAAAGGTTTCCAGTCTCCCCTGCTGAGGGGAACATTTGCTCCTTGGGAAGGGTTTTCCCAGTCCTGCTCCAGCTGGTGCCTGGAACTGTGGGAAAAGGGCTCTAGACTTCCAAGTCCTGCAGTTCTGGGGGCTGCTGCCAGTGCCCAGCACTAACCCTGCAGCAGGTGGGGAAAGTGAAGCCAGCAGCCCCCTCGCAGGCTGCCCGAACCAGGGTAACAGGCTGGGGGGTGCCTGCCCATGGATGCCTGGGGCTGCCTGCCCTGCTGCCCCAGCTCCAGAGCAAGTATGAGACTCCAGTGCAAACCCAGCCAGCCCCACAGCCAGGGTTGCCTCTGCATCCCCTATGGGAGGCTTTCCAGATCCTAGCCTCTGGCACGTGAGTGGGGATCTGGTTCAGTTTATTTCACAGATATAATAATGGCTTTAATGTACATCTCCATAAAACCTTCCTCTGGTCCAGTTCACCCTTCCTGTCCCCTTTGGTGCTCTCCTGTTGAAAGCAAAGGGCCAGAAGCAGGCAGCCTCACTGCCCAGAGCCCTGAAGTCCAGCCAGGAGTCTTTCCGCCTAAAGCCAGAGTGCTGTGCGGTGCTGCCCTGTGCAGAAGACGTGCTGCGTGTGCTCCTCTGTGTCTTCTCAGAAGGCGGAACTCACCTGCAGATGCTAAAGCCATGTCCCTGAGAGCCGCTCTGCTTCAGCCAAGCCACAGCAGCCAAGCTCCTGCCCTTGCAGTTCGGTTCAAGGTCATTCAGTATCAAACCCACCAAAACCAGTGCACCGAGTGCCACACCAGCCAGCTAGTGAATGATGGAGGTACAGCTGGGGCTGAAGCCCAAGAGGAGGAGTCAGGCTGCCCTCGCACAGCCCCAGGCTCCTCGGTTCAGTACCCACGCGTGCTGCTAGCAGCGCTGCCTGCAGTGCCGGAGCGCAGGTCCCCCCCAGAGGCCTTGTTCTTCCCCCTTGTCACCCGTGGCACAGCTGCGCCGAGAGGTCCGGGGCACGTGTCGCTCCAGGATGTGGGTGCCAGTGCTAGAGCAGGCCTGTCCAGAGGTTGAAGCAGGCAGTGTTGATAACTGACTCCAGGTGGTGGTACGTGGACACAAGCTGTGGCAGAGGGCTCTCGCTGTTCTGGGGCTGCACTGGGAACGGCTCACGGAAGACCACGGTGAGGCTCTGCTGAGAAGAAAGAGCAGGTCAGGGGACAGGATTCAGACAAGCACTGTGCAGTCCCTAGCCCAGATGCATGGGCACTTGCTTGGCCGTGTTAGGCAGAAACCGAGAGAAGTCCCAAAATGCCACAGCACTAAGCTAGTGCCTTCTCCTGTGACAGAGCATGTTTGAGCCTCCTCCCAGTTTTCCTGGTGGAAATTAGGTGCAAGGACCAGCCCACTCCCTCTGTCCCAGCCCCCATGCACCTGCAGTTATACCAACCCCAGCAGCAGCCTCAGGAGAGGAAGGGATCCTACTGCCTCCACAGTAATAGGGGCTTCCAGGGAAATCAGAGGGAAATTTCTTCTTGTAAGGCAAAGAGTAGGAGTGCAACAAATGGGGAAGGGGAGGAAATTAAACATAATAACTGCAATCCTGAAAATAAATGCTGGCTGCTCCATTTGCACTAGCGACTGTACTGACAAGGCAGGGCAAGGGCAGAGGGGGCAGACAACAGGGTTCGGAAGAGAAGGTTGCAGGAGTTGAAGCAGGAGAAAAAACGTGAGCAACTCAGTGCACTGAGACCAGCATCATGGAGGCAAGACACAGGGACCGGATGTTCTCCAGAGCGGAAACGCAGCGCATCTAGTAGCCAGGGTCCCCTAACAAACTCATAAAGTCATGAGAACAGCTGTGTAACTGCAAACCAGCAAGTGCACCACCATGGTTTAAGAGGGAAGAGGAAGTGATTTGTGAGCATAACTCCGGCAGCGTGCAAGGCTTTAGAGCAGGCTTGGAGACAACCACAAGGAAAATGCAGCTCGGTGTTACCAAAGTGATGTGCTAATGCTAGAGTTCTCTTTGATAAGGTAATATTTCTAGACAAAGGAATCATGGTATATCTTATCTGAGCTTCAGGAAGGATTTGATGTAGTGCCACATGGGAAATTTAGGTAAGCTGAAAAGATAGGAATTAATGCAAAAATTATAAGGTGAAGATGGTAGTGCTGAAAGGGGAAGTGGCAGGGTGGGGAGAGGTTACAAATGGAGTTCCTCCAGGACAGGTTTTGGGACTCACGTTGCCTAGTACTTATAATGAGTCTGGCACAAAGATGAGGAGCATGCTGATAAAATTTGAGGCACTAATACAAAAGAGGACCGGGATAATGCAAAAAAAAAGCCCTAGAGACTTTTGAGAGGCCACAGGAATAGGATGAATGTTACGTGCGAAACACAAGGTGAGGAATATGAAGGATTTCTGTTATAAGGTGGGAGCTATTGGGAGAGGTGATGGAGAGTCTGGGCGTATCATATCAATGACCATAAGACGACACCATGACCAGTGAGACATGACTGTGAAAAGGCAAATACCGCCCTAGGCTGTACCAAAAGGACTGGGCAGGGACAGAAAAGCCTTAGTGCAATCACAGGGACTCTGCTGAGATTCCTCAGGAATATGGGGTGCAGTCCAGGACACCTGTATTTACAAAGGCTGACCTGAGCTCTGAAGGGCTCTGAGTGACAATGAAGCCATTGGAGAAGGGAAGGCAGGCTTAAGAGCTCAGCTAGTTTAACACTGCAACATGGAGTTAATAAAAATGCTACCTCAGATGTGCGGGTGAACCTGGGGATCTGGGGAGGAAGCGGGTACCTGCACAGTGA